TTCCAGCTAATGGACCACAATCTGTGTACCTGCAGCCTGGGAGCGATTGTTACTGGGTCAGGTTAATTACGCAAATAACCCTTCACACTGCCACCACCTTTTTGTAGAGAAAGAGGAAACTCGGCAATATTAGCAACAACACTATGAGGGTTGGATAATCGTCTGTATACCACTGTCACCGCAGGCAGGTTATACAGAGGGTTAAATACACACACAGTAGTGCGCTTCAGAGGTAGGGGTGCTTAGTTTGCATTAAAGAGCATTAGAAACAGTTCAACACTTACAGAAAGTAAGATTTATTAATAAAAGGTCAAAAGGGTGCAATAAAAATATTTACAGAAAAAGATGTGTGTATATGTATGTATGTGTGTATATATATATATGAAAATACAAAGAGCAATAACACAGCAAAGAGATAAAAGACGTTTAGGGAGGTAGAGTACTTGCCAAAAGTCCTGGGTTACGCAGATTCAAGGGTCCTGAGCCAAAAGGGTGCCTTATCTCCCAAAGTTAGTTCTGATGTTAAAAGGGAGGGTTCTTTAACTTCAACACGACCTACTCAACTTAACTTTCTGCTCCAAGCATAACAGCCTTTTCTAGGAACTCAGCAGGGTGTCTCCTTGAATCAGAGAACCAATCGCCTCATTTGGGGAGGGTGTTGCAGGCGGAGACCCAAGCTAGAATCAAAATCCCTCGCAGTTTATATCATGATCAATAATGTACCCTTGGTGCATGTAGCAGCCTAGCCACTAGTAAATTAATATGCAGAATGATCTGAACATCTAGATATGAAATATGATATACCTGCTTGGGACGGTTAAGCAGATATAATTTTTCTGCTCTCCTGTAGATTTCAACTAAGGGGTGTAAGGCATCAGACGACTTGTATTAAAGTGACCGATCTGAATATATGCCTGGTTTCCTTGTATGTCTTCCATACCTCTGGATATAAAATATGTTAAAGGGGATTTTAAAATGCGAGTCTGTTTTACAGCTAGCTGGAATGTCTTTGAAGCTCAGTGAAGGACTGGTTTATGGTTTTACGATATCTCAGATTGAGAAGCTAACAGACACCTGGGCACCAGCTAGTTTGGGATTTATAACCATGGAGCTCTCCCACTGTGCCTGTGATCTCTGGCATCATACAGACCACATTCCTTAGGGAGGGGGGAAATTGGAGGGAAGCTAATTTGGGAGTAGAAATGATACAAGATGGAGGATCCTTAGCAAGATGGATGACCACATCCATCTCTGTATGCACAATTGCTACAGAAATAACAGAGTAGCCCACAAATGGCCATAAAACTGTTTTGATCCAACTGTCCAATTACTTTTGATCCCTTGAGAAAGGGAGGTTGACTATTCTTAAGAGCTGTAATTCCTAAACCCTTCCTCCAATTTGGATGTACATACCATCACATTAAACCTGAGAGTGTGCACTTTCAGCTCATAGCCAATATAGAACTATAGAATTAATATGTTTTGGTAAATACCTGCAAAAAAATAAAAATTGTGCTTGTGTCCAAATATATATGGACCTAACTGTACACTGCTCAAAAAAATTAAAAGAACACTTTGAAAACATCAGATCTCAATGGGGAAAAATATGCTGGATATCTATACTGATATGGACTGGGTAATGTGTTAGGAACGTAAAGATGCCTCATTGTTTGATGGAAATGAAAATGATCAACCTGCAGCAGACTGAATTCAAAGACACCATGAAAATCAAAGTGAAGTAATGATGCAGCAGGCTAGTCCATTTTGATGAAATTTCATTGCAGCAACTCAAAATGGTCCTCAGTAGTTGTATCGTCCCCTCATGCTTGTATGCATGCCTGACGCCAGGGCATGTCCCTGATTAGACGGATGGTATCCTGGGGTATTTCCTCCTGGATCTGGACCAGGGCATCACTGAACTCCTGGTGGCATTGGATGAACCTAAACTATATGACTTTTGGCTATTACTGTCCAGTACAAAAAAAATTAAAAATCAAATTTAGGCCAAAATGTATTCTGCTACCTGTCTTTGCTATAAAAAAAAAACCCCAATACATGTAATATAAATGGTTTACGTGAACGTTATAGCATTTACAAATGACAATATACATACTGGGACTTTTCTTTTTTTTTACTAGTAATGGTGGCGGGACTGCGGTGGGCATTCTAACACTGGAGGGAACTGACTTGGTGTCACTGACATCCCCAGGGACACCAATACATTGATCAGTGTTAATAAAAAGCACTGACACTGTACTAATGGCACTGGGCAGGAAGGGGATAACATCTGGGGCAATCAAAGGATTAACTGTGTGCTGTTTTACTGTGCGCTTCACTGTTAGCATACTGCTATGCATAGCGGTGTGCAGGAGCTGACGGGTGAGAACTTATTTACAAACTGTTCACCAGGCGCCAGTGATTGACAGCACGGGTAGGGCACGCACCCTACCCGGAAATGCAAAATTACGTCTATATACATGATTTTGCACACCCGTGCCGCCCTGTAGCAGTACTTCTGCTATAGGGCAGATGGGAGGCAGTTAATTGACACGTATTGGGATTTTTTTTAGCAAAGACATGTAGCAAACACATTTTGGCCTTAATTTAAGACAAAATTTGATTTACATTTTTACTGGACATGTTTATTAGCAAAATTGTTTTGTTCCTCAAAATTGTTGGGGTTTTTATAGCGCAAAAAAAAAAAAAAAAAAAAAAAAAAAAAACGCACAGGCGATCAAATGCCACCGAAAGCTCTATTTTAGGTGCAGTGTTGCATGACCGTGCAATTGTCAGTTAAAGTGAAGCAAAAAATGGCCTGCTCACGAAGGCGGGTAAATCCTCAGGAGGGCAAGTGGTTGAAGGGATCAGCACTCACCTTTCCAACACTTACTGGCATATTTTCCTGTGTGCTGCTTCCAGTCCACCTTCATTAGCAGGAGCCAGTTATTCTAGCAGATTGCGCCAGCTGCTGCACCCGCACAGCTCAGTTTACATTGCTGGGATCAGGCAGGTAGTTGTATATTTTTTTTTGCAGGGGACATTCTATATCTCTTTTGTAATAAAAAGCCTGCCTGCTGCTTACAGTATGTAACAGTGGAACTTCAGTTCTACTAAAATTATAAGAGGAACATAAAATGTTCCTATTAAAGCAGGAGTGTGACAATGGAGCGATTTAAAAAGCAAAAATCGGAGCTGCAGTCTACAACATCCAATCAGATTTTATATTTCATATCAATCTAAATGGTTGTCAGTGCAACAAGTCTATTTTTGCACCAGCTTTAACAAGCTGGTCTCCTGTGAGGTTTTCAATTCACATCATACATGGTAAATGAAAAAAAAAAAAAAAAGACAGAATAATTTTTAGGTTTTTTTTTTATTTTAAAGAGTTTCTGAGCTGGTATCCAAAAGCATCACATCCTGGGCCTTCCACATCCTGAAGAGAAAACAAAAAAAACATCAAGACTTTGCAGTATGTTAATGCTCCAAGTATTACACACTAAATGGCATTACAATTGTTCATTCTAAGCAACTCCCACAGGTTGCCTAAAGTGCTAGTTCATCTTTTCAGAAAAAAGTGAAAACTGTACGCGTGTCTGAGCAGTGGGACTGTCACCTTAAACACCGCTTTACAAACTACATCGGTCTATAGCAAATGTCATCATATTTGGACATCAGTGCAGGGTTCAACAAATCCCAGGGACCAGGCTGCCACGGTGACTAGAAATTGTGTCCCGGCGCCTAGGCTTTTGTCAGCCCATTCACTGTTGCAGGAATGCACAATCTGTGACTCAACACCGGGGACTATGCAGTTCCAGGCACCAAGTGGTCAGTTTTTTTTTCCTTCTACATTTAGCCCCGCGCAGGGCTCACTTGTCAGGTGGAAGCATTCAGGCTGCTTCGCTGCAGCCCAACTGCTTCGACACACACAAGTAAAGTGACACCCAAACCCCCCCAAGCTATGTATCCTGAATGGTAAAAATGTCCTCTTCCCAATCTTGTTCCTAACCGGGAAGCGGTGTGTATGCCGCCACTTCTGGGTCCCCGTAGACAGTTTCCCTAGCTAGCATTGCATTACATTCGGGCAAGACATGCAGGGTCTAAATTCTCTCATTAGAACAGGTCACAAAAAAAAAAAAAAATGTTTAGTTACACCCAAAGTTACACCCAAGCACATAAAATGGCACCCCCCCCCCCCCACAAATTTAAACCGTGTTAAGGGAGCCTACATATGAAAATGTCGATTGCAGTACACATTACATATCGGTGCCCACACCAGAAAGAGCATAATTCTAGCACCAGACCTCCTCTAACGCTAAACTAGCGACCTATAGGGGATTTTAAAGCATTGCCTATAGAAAATAAAGGGTATTGAAGTTTGGCCCCTAACTTTTAGCTGGCTCCTATACTCAAAGCAAATTTGTCAAGCTCTGCCTTAGTGAAATGACTTATGGTATTACAATTCAGATTCATGGTTCTCGTATGTTTTAGGTAGTGCTGGTACCCATATTGTAGTTGAAGGTTAATTGAGTATTTCAGTTGTTTTTACACAGTATAACAAATAGCAACCAGTTTTTTTTTTTTTTTTAGTTATTTGAACAGGTATAGTGTATTCATAACACAGGTAAAGTCATTGTCTTATATTTGTAAGAGTTCAGACTGGCTGACCCTCAACTTTTGCAGAACTCACACGATCCCACCTATGAATTTAGTTACACAACTGGTTTTCATAAGTAGGCGAATTATCAGTCTTAGTCTTCCTATAAAATAGGCCCCAAATACATTCAGCTCACATCTATCCCTTCCACCTTCTCAGACAAATGCCTCAAGGACATCAAGCAATGGGCAGTCTTGACTCAATGAACCAACCGCCACAACACAGAACGTGATGGTAGGCAGTAGCCCACTGGAAAAGATTTACCCAATCAGACTCGTCATCGAATCATCACAGAAGGCTCATTTTTTTTCCCCAGGAAAGCTGTGTTGGTTTCAGCACTTACCCATTATGCAGTGGGTACAGCCTGGGGCATGGCTGGGGGCTGGGCCTGCTCAGGCTTTGTTCCTTTCTGCTCAGAGATGGGAGTAGTTGGCAGGATCTCTTCTTTGGGCTCCACAATGCTGACGTGGTCAGGCAGGGGCTTCTTGGGGCCAATCTTGCCACTGGGGTCCCAAGGAAGCATGATCTTCACCTTGATACCCAGCACACCTAGAGGGGAAGAGTCGCATTAGAAACAAAACATGCATTTGTAATAGTTTCTGACTTTCATTTAATTTTCCTGGTGTCCTCCTCAGACAAATGCCTCTAAATCAATCAGGAGTATGGACAGGTATCTGAGGGAGACCCCACATACAGAGACACAGAACGTGGCTTTGTAGAGGAGAAACCTCCGCCAGAAACGTCCAGTCTGACTCGTCATCGAATCATCACTGAAGGACAGGAATTGCAAGAAATCCACCATAATTCATCATTGCTATAGGATGTCAACAAAAAGACAATTCCAGCATCTTCTGGACAATCAAACTTTGGTGGCTAGAAGCACTTTGGGCTCTTAATGCATTGTGTCCAATTTCATTCTGTGAGAATGGAACAAGTGAGAGCCCACCTTCTGTTTGGGGGTATCAGCACCACCTAGCCCTTACCTTAGCCTGCCTCACTGGCTTTCCCCTTCTGTTTACTGAATTTCAGTTCTCAATCAAGGAGGCCAAGTACCACAAGTGGCCATAACCTAGGATGGTCTCCTGTACAGCACCTCTGCCCAAAGCCATGATCTGCTTGCATTGCATGGAGACACATCAGACCTAGTGATGATATCACTGGGTCTAAAACAAGGTTATGTAAAAAAAAAAAAAAATATATATATATATATATATATATATATATGTCAATAACCCTCCTTTCCCCTTTAGGGGGCTTCCCTTGGTTTGAACCTGGGGAACACCTATCCTTCAAGTTGTGGACGGGGAGGTGCGATGCCCTGGATACATTACAAAAAAAGTACTGGCATTTCCCAATGAACATCTGGCAGTATAGTCAGTTTTATAACTGTTCATAGCCTGTCCCCCAAAATCATCTACCTTGACACATTGAGAAGCTTTGTATGGGGAATGCCCCATCCCTCATTCCCTCCTGGTGTTGTATAAACTGCTCCAATCGGAGGAACCAGCTGAGAAACCTTCATACATACAGGCATGGGAGAGAGACTTGCAGTATAACTTTCCAGAAACCCAACTTGACCACCTGTATCACTTAACTCACATAAGCTGTTTATACAAAGATGCAAAAAAATAACTTTAAATTGCCTATTTGCTGGTATAGAGTCCCTTCTGGATTGGCTAAGCTTTACCCTTCCCTGTCTGGCTTATGTGGTCACCCCAGTACCTCTCCCCTTATTTGGTGTCCTAAGTTATGTCCCTTTTAACAAGACATTAAGAGCTCAAATTAACCATTTGCCCTTCTAAGGATTTACCCCCTTTCCTGACCAGGCAATTTTTTTTGCAGTATGGCACTGCATTACTTTAACTGACAATTGCGTGGTCATGCAACGCTGCACCCAAATGAAATATACATCATTTTCCCCACAAATTGAGCTTTCTTTCAGCGGTAACGACAATTTTGAGAAAAATATTTTGACTTTTTGCTATTAAACATGTCCAGTAAAAAATTTTTAAACAATCATATTTCGGTAAATTCAGGCCAAAATGTATTCTGCTACATGTTTTTGCTAAAAAAAAAAAATCCCAAAACGTGTAAATTAATTGATTTATGTGAAAGTTTGAGCGTTTACAAATGCCAGTATATATACTGGGCTTTTATTTTCTTAAATTTTTGTATTAGTATTGGCAGCAATAGACTTATAGCAGGACTGCGGCGGGCATCCTGACACTGGGGGGAACCGACTTAGTGTCACACCAATACAGTGATCAGTGCTTAAACAAAAAAAAAAAAACCCAACACTGACACTGTACTAATGGCACTGGGCAGGAAGGGGTTAACATGAGGGGAAAACAAAGTTAACGGTGTGCAGGGAGTGTTTTTCTATGGGGCGGTGACTGTGTGCGTCAGTGTAAGCACACTGCTCTGGATGGCTGTGTTGTGCACAGCCATCCAAAGCAGCATACACAAGCCGACAGGGAGTAATGTATTGTTTACATACAGATCCTTGGCAACCCTCGGCAATGACTGGGCGCCGGCGAGTAATCACTGGTCGGGACCCGGTGATTAACAGCCATGGCCGCAAATGGCGGCAGGGCTAGGGCGTGCGTGCCCTATTTGGAAAAGCAAAACACGTGATTTTTCGCACCTGTGCCGCCCTGTAGCGGCATTTCTGCTATAGGGCGGTCGGGAAGCAGTTAAGTTAATCCTTGACATAGACGTTCCTGACCCCCCCCCCCCTCCCCCCCCCCCCCTTGCAGTTTCTACCTTCATGTGCCCTCCATTCCTCTTAGCCACTATAGGAAAAGTATCTTAACACATCTATTAAATGCAGCATGGCGTTTAAGTTCCAGTTAGCACTGAGTGGATAAAACTGGTGAATAATGTAATGGAGGTGGAGGAATGGATGGCTACATGCAAGGATCAATGTAGCACGTTTTAAACCATCTGGGCTATGTGGATCCATTACACTTCAGGGGCCTCAGGGACTTCGCACACCTCCCTCTCAGCAGGGCTCTCAAACCCACATGGAGGTGGTGTGGCGATCTCCCACAGTCTACTTCAGGCCTTTTATGTACTTGGAAGACTCTAGATGGTATTGAAACCCACACCCTTTCAAGCCTATGTCTTGGTCAGACTTGCTGTCTATCTCTACCATGCAGCGTGCTTACAATAAAGAGCGACTGAGTGTTTTTCCCTTTTTACGGATGCCTGTTCACTTTTGTATTGTTTCTTTTATTGTTGATTCTTGGGTACCTACTGCAGCACATGCTACATAGTGGCTGAGTGATTTATGCCTTGGGCTAACACCAGGAATCTTTTTAGAACCCACTTTGGTAAGGATTTCTTAACACCGGACAGGTGAACTTGTCCCATACACTCCAGGTCCATTTTGACCATTGAATCGTGCGGTCTTGCATAGGAATCGGGGACCTAAGACCCTCCCCCCATAATTCCTCTTCAGACTTACACCTGCCTATGGGTCACATCTGGTCCTTGTAGAGGCCCAAGTTATCATTCGTGGATATTCTTACTCTGATGCCCTTTTATTTAGCTCATTGCTAACTATAAGCTATGACAACTGTTACACAGCTTTTATGTCTGCTACGGCCCTTTTTTATCTTTATGTAAGAAAACACTTTTTTTTTTAAATAAAAGGCTACTTAAAAAAAAAAAAAAAAAAAAAAAAAAAAAAAAAAAAGACGGTCATTAATATGATTATGTAGAGGGGAAGGATGAAACTGGGACAACAAAACAAGCTTTTGCTTTAACCTCTGTCCGCACTCATATGCAGCCTTTCAGTGGGCGGGCTTTAATGGCAAACGGCCACATCAACGTGTCTACATGAAAACATTTTACTGTGCGGAGAGCAGGCTCCGAGCACAGTAACTGTCACAGAAAGCTCCCGATGCATACTTGCAATCAGAACCTTTGCTCATTTGACCGCTGTGCCAGCCAATCACAGTGGTCTCTTGATCGGAATGCTCACCTCCCGGTATTTTGATCACTTAAAGGGCCGGGAGTCAGCAGCAGGAAGGGGTGATGGTTAAAAAACTGGTACAGAAAGATGCTGAAGTTAAACAATTTATAGAGGGCTCCACTCTCACTGTTGGAATGACTATATACAAGATTAATGTAAATTAACACCAAGGAAGCAGATCATAAAGAGGACAAATATTTTACAGAGAAAAGACATAGTATGTTATGTACCCTTTAGAATCAGTGAGCACTCCCTGAGGTCAAGGCCAGAAAAGCATTCAACACAAGTGTATCTTAACCCTCCTGTATTTTATTGTATTGCTTCCCTTTATATATTGTAAAGTGCTGCTCAAACTGTTGGCGCTATAAAAATCCCGTATAATAATAATAATTATATTAGTCAATGAAGACCAGCAGCTTGCAAATTTTTCACGTGAATAGATTCTGCAGATGGAAGCATGGATGAACAGGCCCTAGAAATGGTCAGAGCATACAATACCATGACGGGAAACCATTTGAGGGCGTAGAGTTTCTTCCCTGGCAGCACATCTAGCTGAGTAAAGGATGAAAAGGAGATGGTTGAAACAGGGAATTTATCTGCTTTCCTCTGGATGAGGAAGTCTATTCTCCCCCATGCTGGCGCTGGTCACATGGATCCTTTAATTCGGACATACTCTGCCCCCTCAAAACAGCGGCACCTTTCACCAACTACCTTACATTTCTGAGTCATGGCTTAGTCCACCAATTGGAACTAATCTGTAGAATGAGGGATAAGCAGCTTCTCACCTTGTCTGAGGAGGACGTGACGTACAGCTGTGTCCACATAGTAATTGACTGGGTCTCCACTGTGGATCATCAGGCCATCCACGAACTTCATGGACTTGGCTCTCTGACCTCTCAGTTTTCCAGATACAACCACTTCACAGCCCTTGGCCCCACTCTCCATGATGAAACGCAGAACACCATAGCAGGCTCTAATAGAGGAAGCAAAATCAGGATCACATTAAAACCTCTATTGTGTAGCGATACACTGCCGTTTTACAAAGAACAATTTTGTTTGGTATCATATAAATACTCAATCTACACATTTTTGTAAATGTGTACTTTAGAGTACATTTTTAAAGCAAACGTGCAGGAATTGAAAATAGCATGCATACTTACCTACCTGCTGCAGCAGTCCCCAGCTGCCTCTACACCGAGTGATCATGTGACTGATGATCACTCAGTTCTGGAGTGCACTCTGAGAACGGTGACCGTCAGTCACCACTCTGTGCTCTGCCCCTCCAGCACTCACTGGTGTGAGGAAGTGGGGAGGGCAGGAGATGTTAGCTCATGCTCTTAGTGGCACACTGAGAAGCTGCGCCAGCTGCCAATCAGGAATGTGGGTTGATCCTGTCAGGATCCTCTCTTACTCTGAGGTCATCAGAGGTTTGGCCTGCTATCGGATGATTCAGGATCACAGGGGTACAGCAGTGCACTCCTGGGACACGAGATGTATGGAGTCCAAAAAATTAATTCATGTTGATTGTCAAATCGTTTTTTCACAGCTGATACACTAATGATGTGAAAAACATGATTTTTATGACGCAAATCCATTACATTATTCATGCCGTTTTTTTTTCATAAAATTGAAATGGCACAATCGCGTGAGCTATTTTTGTTTTTTGAACAAAACATATGTCTTTCGATTTGTCTATGGCCTGCATTAGTTAAAAATAAATACATTTTTATAGCAACCCTGAAGCAAATAAAAACAAGTAATACCAACACTAAAGAGCAAGTTATTTTAGAAGGGGGCCATTAAAATTGTTAAACTGAAAAAAAAAAAAAAAAAAATGGTTAATAGGTACTGTTTTTTTGGAGATGGTATCCCCTTTTTACTAGAAAATGGTTTCAGTGGAGCATAGTGCTGGGATAATGGAACTTCATGGTACCTGTATCAGAGCTGGATGCCCTAATTCTGAAGAAAGTCAAAAGCATCTTCAGTGCATCAAGGGAGCACAGCAAGTGCACATTATGGAACCTGCCCCCAGCAAATTCCCACTTCGTTCTAATTACATCCCAGGGATGTTGGATTCCTATCGCCCGATGTCCGGGACATGTAGTTCCGGGCGTCAGGCAGGTCATTTTTTTCCTACCTTTAGCCGGGCAAGCAGCGGACTCACTTGTGAAGTGAAAGCATTCGGCAGCAGTGCTGCCGCTGATTGCTTCCACACAGTACCAGCCTCACTGCGCACCCCCCATGAGGTTTCCCAGGCTCCGCTTGCCCATCTGCAGGCCTGGCTCGCCGTCAGCTAGAGTTACGATGACACTTCCGGGTCCCTGTTGAGAGATTGTAATGCAATCCCTGGGTAAGAATATAATACGGTGCGATGCGCACCACATTACATTCAGTGGAGTTTTTTTTTTTTTTCTACCTGTAGCACTGCTGCAGGCACGCAGCAGTGCTCACCTGTCAGGTGGAAGCATTCGGCAGCAGCGCTTCCGGCGATTGCTTCAAAACAGTGCCAGCCTCTCCGTGTCTTTCCCAGGCTTCGCTTGCACATCTGCAGACCCGGCTCGCCATCAGCTAGAGGGGAGGGAGAGCTCCCCTCCCCTTCTTGTGCTGACCTGGAAGTGATGTTACAATGTCACTTCCAGGTCCCGTTGAGAGATTGTAATGCAATCCCTGGGAAAAAATGTAATATGGTGCGATGTGCATCACATTACATTCAGGGGAGCAGAGGGGAGACATGCAGGGTCTTTTAGACCTTGGATGTCTCAAAAGAGAACTTGTAACCAAAAATCACAGAGGACAAAGCCCCTATGTGAAAAAAAAGTAAAACAATTTTTTTCTTTTTTAATTGTAAAAAAAATTAAAGTTACACCCAAGCACATACCATCTCCCCCTCTCCTTCAAAAAAATAGAGACCCCCACCCCCACATATACAAACGTAAAAGCACACGCTGGGGCGCCTACGCATGAAACAGTCAATTGCGATACTCATGTCATATATTGCTGCGCACGCCAGGATGAGAGCAATAATTCTAGCACCAGACCTCCTCCGTAACACTAAACTGGTGACCTATAAGAGGCTTTAAAAGTGTCGACCTATAGAAAATATAGGGTACTGAAGTTCATCGCCATTTCACGAGCATACACAAACCTAAGGTTTGACAAGTTGGATATCTATTTACTCGCTGCAACCTCATCTTTTACATTTTACAAAAAAATTGGGTAATTTATTGCTTTTTTGTGTCCTAAAATTAAATTACTTGTATTTTTTCTAACATTTTGTGGTAAAATCACGCGACAAAAAATTGGACCTACCACTTTTATTCTCTGGGGTCTCTGCTTTCAGAAAATATGTTTGGGGGTTTTATGTAATCTTAAGACCTAAAATGATTTTTAAACGAATGCAAAATCGACTGGCAGCGAAAGGGATACAGTATAAGCCCTGACCCACCCTTTCCTGACGAGCAGGCAATCTTTCATCCTCCCTCCCAGTCCCCGGGGGCGGTGCGGGAGAGAGGTAGGGAGGGGAGATGATGAGAAACAGAGCAATGTTAAAAACAGTACACTTTTAAGTCGAGATAAAGCCTGTTTTTAAATGCCCCCGACATTCCTAAAGTCACCTCCGATTTAAATACGGTTTTGGTTATAAAAACATTTTTTTATCCGGACAAGTAGATTGTGGCCCCAATTTAGTCCCCATACAAGTAGTTTTTTTTTTTTCAACAATTTCCACCCCCTGAATCCACAGTAAACATTGAGCCAAAAAGGGAAAAAAGTAGTTGGATGTAGGGCAAGCAACAGGAGCACCACCTGAAAGTACTTCATCCCTACGCTGAACCTGCAAAGTCAACACCAGGACCATAACCATTCTGTTTGTCATTCAAATGGAATGTAATTGATTTCTGTGCGAGTCAGAGGACCGGACCAACTCCTGATTGTACAATTCTTACAGCAGACAATTTGTTGTGTGCATACATTTATCATCTGAATGTCATCACAAATGAGATGAGCTGCCTGTGACCTCTTTTGCTGCAACAGATGACTGCCAAGTATTTTAGTAGACAATGTAGTCTCATGTAGATCTAGGCTTACAGACCTCTTCAAATATTAGTCTACTTAATTCTGAGGGCAGTTACTCTAGGATCCAGTTCCACTTTGTACAACTGTGCTTAGGACTGTACAGACCACATTTTCAGCCACTTCATGTATTCAGGACAATCGTTCTCTAACCAGGCAAACCACTGTGCAGCTGACCAATGTACACCAACATTCTGAAGCACCATCAGCGAGGGAGCAGGGCAACTGCATATAGGCGTTGGCACTAGACAACTCTTTAATGGGCAATAGATGCACATAGGAAATGTTAACCACTTGCCCTGTAGAGGATTTACCCCCCTTCCTGACCAGGCTATGTTCTGCAATACGGGCGCTGCGTTACTTTAACTGACAATTGCGCAGTCATGCAACACTGTACATAAATGAAAATTGTCTTTTTTCCCCCCACAAATAAAGCTTTCTTTCAATGGTATTTGCTCCCCTCTGCGGTTTTCACTTTTTGCGCTATAAACAAAAAAACCTGACAATTAGAAAAAGAGACTTTGCTATAATACATATTCAATACAAAAAAAAAAAAAAAAACCACATTTCTTCATAAATTTAGGCTAAAGTGTATACTGCTACGTCTGCTTAAAAAAAAAAAAAAAACAAAAAAAAACAATACGTGGAAATTGGTTTATGTGAAAGTTATATCGTCTACGGCGGTAGATACTGGAATTTTGTTTTCCATTTTTTTGATAGTAGCAATGGTGGCAATCAGTGACTTATAGCGGGACTGCAGAAGGCATTCTGACACTGGGTGTAAACTGACTAGCTGCCATTGACATCCCCAGTGACGCTAACACAGTGATCAGTAATAAAAAGCACTGACCCTGTATTGACGCTGGGCAAAAAGGGGTTAACATCTGGGGCGGTCGAAGTGTTTACTGTGTGCTGCGTTTTACTAGGGAGACCTGCTGTTTTGTATAGGTTGGGACGGTTGCCATTTTTTGTGTAGTTGGCTAATTTGGACGCACTGGATGCCTTTGCTGTCATTTTGGTATAGCCGGGTGCCACGTGTGTCCCTGTACCTATAAGGAGGGATAGGCTCCTCCAGGCACACCGGCTCTTAACCTATCCATGTGCTCCTACTATGTTATTTTTGGAAATTTTAGTTAGGTCCACAGTATACAGAGGACCCTTGACGTGGGACTTACGCATGTATTTGCAAATGTGTGCAAACAAAACCCTCAGTTTTTAACTCAAACTGTTAGACAGGATCAAATTGGTTGTTTTGCAGGCTGGCTGGTAAGAGTTGCTGGGAAATCTTTTGTGATGTGCATTGCCCTTCCATGTGCACCTTACTGCTAAGGCTGGTTATAGGTTGGGACGGTTGCCGTGCCATGGTGTTTCGTATCTTTGCTGTACAGAGAAATACAAAACAGCATGTTCACGCTGACAGGAGAGAGACCTGTGTTTCCACACAGGTCTCTCCCGTCAGCTTTCCCCAATGATCGCCAAGTGCTAGCCATCGTCAGCTGGGACCCGACAATAGACATCTCTAGCCGGCAATAACGGCACAGGTAGGGCTACACGCGCGCACCCTACCTGGAAATGCAAATCACATACTATAGGGCGGAGGACAAGTGATTAAACAAGGGAGGAGATTTACAACACAGAAGTGCAAGCATGTAAAAGCCACAACTAAGAGCACATTCAGGCTAACAATACAATAATTGAAGCTGTGATTCCCCCAAAAATACGTTATACAGAAACTGACTAGATGAAATAAGCCAATCACTGTAAAGCCAAAATGACTTACTATCTGTGCAGGATCCAAGCATCTAAAAGGCAGCCATTACTCCTACAATACATACTATGACATCCCTGTATATACCACTAGCATATGATCCTGCATTCCAGGCACAAACTTAAGGAAATATTTTTCCAATAGTGACAAAGATTTAAAAACCCACTGTATGAACCAAATGCCTTTCCAAACCTAGATATTACCCTGTAAAAGTAGCAGTGGCATGATCATTCAGTTGCAGTCTGGGGAGAGAGCAGAGGTGTAGGAGGGACCCAGCAGGCCCATTCATTACAATCTGCCTTTAGAAAATTACAAGAGGGGCAGAGAAGACCAGTCACCCTGCACAAGGAGAAAGAGCAGCAGCAGCCGGTCTTTATTACAGGAAGCTCCTGCACAGAGGTAAAGTCTCACACTGGATTATTACACAGATCTGAATATACAAGCACACCAAGTTTTAAGGAGAAGCACAACTGCTTCTCGTTTTTCCTGGAGTTCAGCTTCAGGCCTCATGCACACAAGTAGTTGATTGAAAGCTCCAAGCAGACGGCCACAAATGCTGGCGGTAGTTGTAGTTCTCCCATTCACAGTACACTCTATACATTTTCTAAAAATTGTAACAGCAAGTGCAAGGGGAAGATCCTCCGCCCACTGGCACAAGAAGGATGAGGGGAGGGCAACACGGTCACATGGAACATATTTAAGGTGAGCGTATCCTTTAAATATAGTCTGGTAGGTTGATGAGGTCTTTGCCTTGTTTGTGCAATGGCCTATACTCCGCATCACTTTATAGCTGCCCCTCTCCTTCAAACTATTGTCCATTTGTATCTGCAGTACAGCCAACACAACCCAAAGAAGTTCCCACACTTCCAAGCCAGCAGTTTTTAACCACTGCAGCCCCAGGCTTTTTCTGGCACATATATATATATAGAAGATGTTACACCAACTGGATACCAAACATGTCGCCCTTTAAAATTACACACACCTGTGCAAGGGTGACAAATGACGTAAATTTTACTATCCATAGGCGACTCTTTAAAAGCTTTAACAGGTTACCACTATAAATTTACAGAGGAGGTCTGGTGCTAGAATTGCTGACCATGATCAGACGTTTGTGGCAAAACCTCACGTGTGAGACTGTCACTGTTTGCATGCTGCACTGACACATGTGCCCCCAGGCATGGTAATTTTTTTTTTATTCATTTTTACACTATCGCTTTAATTTTTGTTTTTGGATCTTTTTTATTGCTGTCACAAGGAATGTAAACATCCCTTGTGACACAAATACATGTGCCAAGTACTCTTTGAGGGATCTGGGGTCTGTAAGACTGCAAATAGCTCCTCTGCACGTGAAAGCATTCAAAACACCATCAGTGTTTTTAATTTCTTTCAGATTTTCAAAAAATGGCTCCGGTAATTTCCGAGTAAACCGGATGTCAGGTCATTGCTTCTGGTTTACTATAAGTGAGAGCTGATCAAAGATGATTCTGCCCTTGTTCAGCAGACTGGCCAGGCACTGGACGTTCTAGCTGGTTGCTCAGGATTCCTGGTGGGACGGGAGATCCCAAGAGAGTGGCAGAAGGCAGCAGGGTTAGTTAGCTGCTCTAATTGCTTGTACAAGAGACCCAACCGCTGGTCTAAAAAACCAGCACCAGTACAACCACCGAAAATCCAGCAACATTCGGGTACGTTGCTGGTTCAGAAGTAGTTAATCCTAATGTTCCTGTAATCAAATGCCAGTATAAACACTAAACCCTGACATCACCAAAGCACACAGTACTGCTTTTCACTTTAGAGAATACTCAATACAGTACATGAAAATCACCAAAAGTCTCCATTCTATTATCGCACTTCACAGAAGGCATCTGCTTTCAAAGACAAGCCTGGGCAACACTCCAGCAGACCAGTCTAATATTGTCAACCCACCAATGTGTTTTCATCTCACCTCCTCACAGCCAGTCCTCCCAGGAGCTTGTAACGCAGGGATTCAGCCTGAGCGATGGCACACAGACCCCTTGTGGCAACTTTCTCTGCATACAGCTAAAGGAAGAAGAAAAATCATTCTCTTAGCTATTCGGTTTATAAGAGGAAAAAGAAGCAAGGAAGGCAAAATGAACATAAGCAAAGCTGAAGAAATCCTGAATAGTAAAGGACCCGTTCACAATGAAACAGATTTAGTGTGTGGGCAGCTGTCAGTTTTGGACTGCAGTGAGGTGTGGTAGGGTGGTGGTCTGATGAGTGTTTTGGCGCATCAGTTTCCTTGTTTATTTTATTTGAAGTGCTCAAAATGATGTCTCTGCACAGCAGCCCAGTGTGTTGCTCTGCTGTGTAGCAACATGCAGTGCCTACCATTGTGCTACATTATACAGGATTTATATCGCGCCAACAGTTTGCTCAGCGCTTTACAATATAACGGGAGACAATACAGCAACAATACAGTTCAATACAAGAGGGTTAGGAGGGCCCTGATCCTTGGAGCTTACAATCTAGGATATAATGCAGCATGTCTGCAACTCACTGCACCGCACCTCCAAGTTGCACTGCAGAGCAATTGGAATTTGTTCCAGAGAAAACAGTTTTCTATATGCCCTAGTGATGACTGCGGTTCACCCAGTGCGGGCAAAAACACTAGTCACTGCTCCGCATGTGTGAATGAGCCCTTAAAATGTTGCTTGCATAAATTCTCCTTTTAAACAACCCCAAGTAACCCTCAAATTCAACCCTTTTTTAAAATTTGGTACACAAATGTTATATCCATTTTCATTTCATACAGGGAATGTGTACAGGGACCAGCTTCTGAAAAAGGAAACGTGGAGGCTTCTCAGACAAATGCCTCGAATCTTAGTCTTCACACAACACCAGTCACACATGCCAGGAGTGAAGGTGGGCAGCAGAACACTACCCATCTATACCACTGCCAGTGCTAGGAGTGAAGTTGGACTCGTCATCGAATCATCACAGAAACCATCCAGCAAATACTACCACCACCGGATCGTCCAACAAACTCACCTCCACACTACCCTCAGGAAACCCAAACCTCTTCTGGACTACGGCAGTCAGCTCACGGATTCGGCGCCCCTTCTCACCAAGGACATTCTGGGTCCTGCAAGTAGACAAAATATTAGCTTGCCAGCTTAAAAGCAGCATGGGCTAGAATACTAGGTTACAAAATGTAGAAAAACTGGAGCTTTTGGCAATACTTCCCCCTCTTAACACAGGAAAATAGTAAATAAAGCCACCATAACATCTGTGCGCTGCAAATGGACAGGTGATAAAAAGGTGTATACTGTGAGCCTCTATACTTTTTATTGAGCCTGCCATTCCCAGGTCTTCCCAAAATGGCCAGGAAACTCACCACACATTCTGACTGCGGCTAGAAGCATTCCTATATGTTGGCTATCCTCTATATCTCCTTCGGTGCCAACTCTGTTTAAAATTATTCCTGATGTGAGACGGATGGAATACCTGACTGCTCTACATGCCTGTTTGATTGCTGTGTTCGTGGCAGTGTGGCACCCATGGGATAATTTCACCTCCTCCCACCTTTCTCCAAATGTACGGTTCTGATGGCCTCCCCACTGTTGCTATGTGACATTATGTTAGTAACCATCGATGTGCTCCCTCTTTCAATTTAAGTGTGTGTGTGTACGTGTGCATGTGTACACACACGTGAAAACCAATAAAATGTTTATATATATATATATATGTATACTGTATTTCCAAACTGAGCAAATTCTAATCGTGACATTTTGTGAATGGGGGTCATTCACTGCTGCATGGAACAGCAGAGTGTATAAAGGGAAACTTGTGTTGGTAAAAACAGCCCCAACTTCTTTGGCATCAATGCACAGTTAAATCAACCTACAAAAAGCTTCCCAGTTTAGCTGGACCATCAGTCACCTGAATCACCAGAATCCCTTTCATAAAAGGAGGACTTTGCTTTACTCGGCAGGGGATCTGGCCACTGATCAGAGCAGTGTGGGCAGATGACATGTCCGTGTCTGCTCAGTTTATGCAGAGTGGACACAGGGAGCCTGCTCTGCTCTATGGAGGGCCAGGAGTAAGCAAACTCAGCTGTCAGTTTACACCTGGCTGGCCTTTGATACACATAGAAAGAAGAGGATGAATCCCTTTCAGTTTTTTTTTCCAAGTGGACCGGATTGGAGGTAGGTGCGTAAATGAAAATCTGGGTGTTCGTTTACACCCACCATTCTTTAGGGGTGATTAGACCGTCCAATCAGGTCTGCTTGAAAAAACTGACAAGCAGACCCTTCATGTGAAAGGGGCCTTAACCTCTCTGCCACCGTCAGCAATCTAAAATGGAACTGGTTCGTTCTTTTTTACTCTGTATACATTCTCTTCTGAAGACTGCCAGCAGGCAGGTAGGTTTATTTTACGACAGAAAAGACACTTCATGTCCCGTTTTGCAATAACAGCCGGTCTGCCGGCACTTTTTACATTTTTAACATTAGTTCCACTTTAAGTAGAAGCTACAAACACTTGGTCAACCAGCAATCCTGCTCACCTGGTAGCCAGAATAATGATCTCAGTCCTGGTTGGGGTGACTCGGACCTCCACACCAGAGTAGCCATCTTCAGCCAGCTCGCGGGTCAGGAACTCGTTCAGCTCAGCTTTGAAGATGCCATCGGCGACAAACTGTAAAAACACAAATTACAAAGTTTTAAAAAAGTTTAATTCATGAAGAGAAATTTCTACACTACTGACCAGTCTTGAACTATACCAATAAATGGCTTAACCACTATTGACCACTTATTCTCAGGATGCATTGCTCAGGCCTTGGGCAGCATATCCTCTCACACCCAGGAGTATCAGGTATTTCTGAGGGCCCCCAAACAGCAATAGAGGAGAACAGAAAAGGTGAATACTATACAGTGGATAGGGATATGTGGCTTGCCAAGAAAACCTGGCGCTGGCATTAATGGGCCCCTTTAAATGTACTGTAAAGGTTTTCCGATGGCAACAGGTAACATCTGCATTTAGGTTGTATCATGGGTACAAAGCATGCAGGGTTCTTCTCCCTTGCAGTAGCTGTCAAATTTGATATTTCAAGAGAGATCTGTGAATGAACAAATTACAAGTCTCACCTGCCTTCATGGCAGACGGACTTGTAGTCCCCAGTGGAATATAAGGGCCTCGATCAGAGCGCCTGTGGTCCAGACACTTCCTCCCGCTCATTAACTCAAACTGGTACAGTACAGAGGAAGAGTCTGCAGGAGTCCAACACCCGCCATCCACTGATCACAGTTGCAATGCTTTGCAGGCTCCTATGAACAAATGCACTTTTTCCCTGCAAAACTGTATGTATTTTTTATAAAAGGTGAACTTATCCTTTAAAGAGGCAATTTAAATTGCAGCATGAAGGGTGGGACTAGCCTAGTGTACCTGATGAACCGGTCAGGTCCCGTGTGCCCAGGCTCCCGTGTGGAAGCGGCCATGTCCCGTGTGCCCAGGAGCCGGTGGAAGCGGCCATGTCCCGTGTGCCCAGGAGAGCCCGTGGAAGCGGCCATGTCCCGTGTGCCCAGGAGCCCGGTGGAAGCGGCCATGTCCCGTGTGCCCAGGAGCCCGTGGAAGCGGCCATGTCCCGTGTGCCCAGGAGCCCGTGGAAGCGGCCATGTCCCGTGTGCCCAGGAGCCGGTGGAAGCGGCCATGTCCCGTGTGCCCAGGAGCCGGTGGAAGCGGCCATGTCCCGTGTGCCCAGGAGCCGGTGGAAGCGGCCATGTCCCGTGTGCCCAGGAGCCCGGTGGAAGCGGCCATGTCCCGTGTGCACAGGAGCCGTGGAAGCGGCCATGTCCCGTGTGCACAGGAGCCGGTGGAAGCGGCCATGTCCCGTGTGCACAGGAGCCCGTGGAAGCGGCCATGTCCCGTGTGCACAGGAGCCCGTGGAAGCGGCCATGTCCCGTGTGCACAGGAGCCGGTGGAAGCGGCCATGTCCCGTGTGCACAGGAGCCCGGCCATGTCCCGTGTGCACAGGAGCCGTGGAAGCGGCCATGTCCCGTGTGCACAGGAGCCCGTGGAAGCGGCCATGTCCCGTGTGCACAGGAGCCCGTGGAAGCGGCCATGTCCCGTGTGCACAGGAGCCGGTGGAAGCGGCCATGTCCCGTGTGCACAGGAGCCGGTGGAAGCGGCCATGTCCCGTGTGCACAGGAGCCGGTGGAAGCGGCCATGTCCCGTGTGCACAGGAGCCGGTGGAAGCGGCCATGTCCCGTGTGCACAGCACAGAGAGCCGGTGGAAGCGGCCATGTCCCGTGTGCACAGGAGGAAGCCATGGTGCACAGGAGCCCGTGGAAGCGGCCATGTCCCGTGTGCACAGGAGCCGGTGGAAGCGGCCATGTCCCGTGTGCACAGAGCCCGTGGAAGCGGCCATGTCCCGTGTGCACAGGAGACGTGGAAGCGGCCATGTCCCGTGTGCACAGGAGCCCGTGGAAGCGGCCATGTCCCGTGTGTGCACAGGAGCCGGTGGAAGCGGCCATGTCCCGTGTGCCCGTGGGAGCGGCCATGTCCCGTGTGGAGCCCGTGGAAGCGGCCATGTCCCGTGCGGCCATGTCCCGTGTGCACAGGAGCCGTGTGGAAGCGGCCATGTCCCGTGTGCCCAGGAGCCGGTGGAAGCGGCCATGTCCCGGCCAGCCCGTGGAAGCGGCCATGTCCCGTGTGCCCAGGAGCCGGTGGAAGCGGCCATGTCCCGTGTGCCAGGAGCCCGTGGAAGCGGCCATGTCCCGTGTGCCCAGGAGCCCGTGGAAGCGGCCATGTCCCGTGTGCCCAGGAGCCGGTGGAAGCGGCCATGTCCCGTGTGCCCAGGAGCCGGTGGAAGCGGCGGCCATGTCCCGTGTGCCCAGGAGCCGGTGGAAGCGGCCATGTCCCGTGTGCCCAGGCTCCGGTGGAAGCGGCCATGTCCCGTGTGCCCAGGCTCCGGTGGAAGCGGCCATGTCCCGTGTGCCCAGGCTCCGGTGGAAGCGGCCATGTCCCGTGTGCCCAGGCTCCGGTGGAAGCGGCCATGTCCCGTGTGCCCAGGCTCCGGTGGAAGCGGCCATGTCCCGTGTGCCCAGGCGGCCCGGTGGAAGCGGCCATGTCCCGTGTGCCCAGGCTCCGGTGGAAGCGGCCATGTCCCGTGTGCCCAGGCTCCAGGAGCGGCCATGTCCCGTGTGCACAGGAGCCGGTGGAAGCGGTCACGTTCCGTGTGTCCAGGCACTGATAGAAGCAGAGCTGTCCATAGACAATGCCCCCCTACACTCGAGACACAGTACCCGGGGGGTGCTCAGTCCTCCCAGCCGCCATGACAGCCGGTCAGACCAGGCCACACTCCATCCGCCGCCATCCTCCTCCGCCTTCCCGCCTCACCCCCTGGACCCCCCTCCCCGGCACTGTACACAGCCCCGTCCATCCCCCTGGACTTGTGTTCTCCACCGATACCGGCTCTGTCCGCCCTTACCTTCCTCTTCTTCGAGATCTGCACCGCCATCTTGCTCCGCGCTGCTGGAAGGAAAGGGAGAGCACTTCCGGCGGAAGTCACTATATAGGGAGGCAGGCCGCCGGAAGTATTCTGACTCCCACCGGGGGGGATGACGGGAGATGTAGTGCTGGCGGGTCATAGTGCTAGTTATGGCCGTGTTCAGTCAGGTTCCATAGGGGAGTGTGTGGAAGTGATATGTACACAATGAGCGAACTCCAAGAACAGTGATAATAATAAAGATTGTGAATGTGCCAGCGATATATTCCCCATGTCAGGGTTGGGGGATGAGAGGAGCACATGAGGGGGGTTTGGCGGAGTAATGGTGTATGAACCCCTAGATTGTAAGCTCTGGTGAGCAGGGCCCTGTGATTCCTCCTGTATTGAATGTCCGCCCTCCTGTTGTAAAACGCTCTGCAAACTTGGCTCTATATAAATCCTGTATAATAATAATGATATCTAGAAAAGCTACAATTTCTGGGGAAATTGTGTGAAGTGTTCTTGCCTCCACCAGTAGTCTACAACTGGAGTGGGTGGAGTAACTGGGTGGAGTGGGCAGAGTAACTGGGTGGAGTGGGCGGAGTAAGTGTTGTGTGGTTGGAGTGGCTGGAGTATCTGTGAAAAGGTTGGACTGGGCAGAGTAACTTTATGGAGTGGGCAGAGTAACTATGTGGAGTGTTTGGAGTGAGTAAAGATAGTAAACATTCCACTAACCAATTAATTGATCAAATTTAAAAAGTGCGCATGGCAAGCTTGATAGAGTGAGAATCACAAGACCCGGACCTACATTTTGATGCATAGTATGTCTCTGAAATATTAAACATGAAGGCACAGTCACAGTTTAGAAATTGCCCTTCAAATTTGAGGTGGCTAGAGTGGAGTTTCAATGAATGTCAATGGGCGGCGTGAGTTGCAAACAAATGGTCATATTGTGAAAACTATCAGGACTATGGCTTAGCCGTGGACATTTTTAGTGGCAGCAGGGATAGCTGAACGTTTTGATATACGATTTGTGTAGGTGGGCTTGAAAATGAGGGAGTGATGGCAGTTTACAAATCATCTCCTGATTTTTCAGCTCACACTCTAGCTTTTGTCAGCTCCCACTCTAGTTTTGAACATTCCGCCATTCATTCCTATGGGACCAATTTCACCACAAAAACGCCGATATTCTGTGAACCATTTGGTGAAACGTTCCACAAAGTAATAGCACACCAATTGGGAACAATCCGCACGTTTCAGTATATTACTGTCTATGTAGTGTAAAAACTGTGGGAGGAGTTAGGGTGGGAAATTTGGCTATAATAATAAGAATATATATGTGAGATAACAGTAAGTGGTCTTGCATGGCAAGACAACTTACTGTTATCTCACATATATATTCTTATTATTATAGCCAAATTTCCCACCCTAACTCCTCCCACAGTTCTTCATGAGATTTATATACATCTCGTATTTCAAATACGCTTCTGGTTAGTGCACATTTGTATCATATGCACAGGGAGCACCATCACAGGACTGGAATTTGATGTGTTTTCACCACCAACTTTATTTGTCACTGACTGATTGATACTCACCATTATTTACTTCATTACTTATCAGTCATCTTTTATTGACTATCAGCACTGCATATTATTGTTTACATTAAATTAATGAGAGTAGGTGCACAAATTGGGGCAGGCTGGTAGGGGCCCCTGTGCATTACTTTGCACAGGGGCCCATGATGCTATTAAGATGGTCCTGAAAACTTGTTGAGTCTTGAACCTGATCACCCTCTCCCTTTATCTGGCCCAGGGGGTGTGGTGTAGACGTACTCACACTGCCCTGTCCTGTTAGCTTGGTGGGTTGCAGCTGCTTTCAGGCCTTATGCTTCTTCCCTGCTGACAGAAGTGTCCTTCCTAGGACACTTGGCATAGTGTAGATCCTTCTGTTCAGCAACCAGCCTGTAGGCAGGCTCCCCTCCCTGGAGCCCCCTCCCAGGATCCACTCTCCAGCACCTTCCTTCAGTCCATCTTCCATCCAACTCCCCTGCTGCACAGGCTCCGTCAAATTTAAGGGTTGCCCTCGGCCACCTTGCCCAGCCTCCTGCCTGGGGATTGGCCAAGTTCCCCTAAATATGCAAATCTGGGTTTCCTCCCCTCCCTTCTTCCAGAAAGTGCAATAAGTTTCTGGAAGGGTGGGAGTGCTCCAGAAGCCCTGACCTGTAGAGCCTCCAGCCTGTACTGAGGTAAACTCACTACCTCATTGCCAGGCTGACTCATCCCAGGCTTCTAATAAGCCTCTAACTAAAAAAACAACAAATCCTATTTATCTAGTGGGTTCTACAGATCCAAAAACAACATTTAGAGTTGGCTCAAGTACTACAATGATGGAGGACAAAGCAAAGAAAAAACAATGTCCTCTCTAGTTCTCAACCTGGAAGGGGAAGGAGGGTGGGGGAGAAATCTTGTTTCTCTTCCTACTTATTACATAATTGCTCAAATACATTGGAGGAGAAGGTCAGGGAGCTGAATCCATAGCGGTTGAAGGAGTATCAAACCACATTGCCCAGACATTCAAAAAACATTTCAGCACAACTACTTTTCTCATACGTTCTTTATGACGTGGCAGATTGGAATTTACCAGTTTTTATTCCAAAACAAGATGGATGGTGGATCTGATCTTTTATAACACAACAATAACTCTTCTAGCATAGAAATGTAGCATGTCAAGGAGCGTCCATTCAGCTGCAATGGGAACCATATCCTCTACTAGACCCAACAGGCAGATTTTCAGAGTAAGGTTCAAGTGTATACAGTCCACTACATCCTACCAAAATCCCCATTTTTATATTTTCTGGCAGGTCCAAAATATATGGGAAAAGTCTCCCCTAAGCTAATACCATATACACACCAATCAGCCATAATATTAGGACCACTGATAGGCAAATTGAATAACATTGATTATCTTGTTTACAATGGCACCTGAATGTGGGTGGAATATATTAGGCAATATTATTATTATTATTACATCGAGTTTATATAGCGCCAAAGGGTTTGCTCAGCGCTGTACAGTAGAGGGGGAACAATACATTACATGAAACAGTACAGCAACTACAAACAGCAGACAAGGGGTTAGAGGGCCCTACTCTTTCGAGCTTACAATCTAGGAGGGAGGGGGTAGTGGTACAGGAGGAAGTGGCTGTGGGGGATGGAGTGGTAGGAGGAATGAGGGAGAGCGGCAGTTAGGTGAGGGTGGGGTAGGCTTCCTTGAAGAGGTGGGTTTTCAGGGAACGCCTGAAGGTGAGGAGGGAAGGTGACAGTCTGATGGATTGGGGTAGTGAGTTCCAGAGGATGGGGGAGGACCTGGAGAAGTCTTGCAGACGTGCGTGGGAGGAGGAGACCAGGGGGCAGGATAGAAGGAGGTCCTGTGAAGAGCGAAGGGTACGGGTAGGGTGATACCTGGGAATCAGGTTGGTGAGGTGGTTAGGGGCAGTGTTGTGAACGGCTTTGTAGAACATGTTGTCCCTGCAGTTGATGTGTTGAAAGCAGAAAAAAAGGGAATTTTGTTACTCACCATAAAATCCCTTTCTCATTGTTCATTGACGGACACAGCTTCCTATTCTCAACCATAGGGTTTATAGCGCCACCTACAAGAGTAGGACACTAGGCAGAAAAGAAATTCGGCAACACCTATGGGCAGTCCTAGCTGTTGTAAACCCTCTCTTTGCTGTAGGCCAACCAATTGGTAACAAAGCAGTACAAAGAAACACCAAAGGGGGGCAGGTGCTGTGTCCGAACTCAGAGAAAGGGATTTTAAGGTGAGTAAAAAAAATCCTGTTTTCTCTTTCATTCATTGATGGACACAGCTTCCTATTCTCAACCATAGGGATGTCACAAAGCAATGTCAAAAGGTAAGGTTTGGGAGAAACCAAGCCAAAACAGGCCAACAGGAGCTCAAACGGGAAAATAGGAGCCATCCATGAAAGACATAATCCAAGAGGGAACTGAAACCTCAAACCTGCAACATTTTGTAGCCAAAACAAACGTCCGAAGATGTCAAAACATCAACCTTGTAAAACTTAGTGAAGGTGTGCACAAGTAACCAAGTAACCGCCTTACAGATTTGAGACACAGATGCCTGATGTCAGATAGGCCCAAGAGGAACTAAGCTCCCTAGTAGAATGCGCCGTTACAGGGAAGGGAGGAACCTGACCTGTAATGGTATAAGCCTGAACCATCGTCTGCCTAATCCACCTAGAAATGGTGGCAGAGGATGCCGCCAGGGGCGAACTGACCATTTGGAAACTCGGGCACTGCCTGAGGGCTCGGGGTCAGTAGGGGGCCCCATGAGATGCCCCTGGTACCTTTTTCATAGGCTTTTTTGAGTTTTGGCAAGGACACAGGGGCCCCATGATCCCCTATTGCCCGGGGGCCCCATGAGCTGTCAGTCCACCCCTGCGCCAGACCCTTCCTTGCCCCTTCCGTGATCACAAAAAAAGAATATAACCTTTGAAAGGACTTCGTAGGTTCTCATTTAAATGAAAATTAGATACCACCTTTGGAAGAAAGGAAGCACACAGACAGAAAACAACCTTATCCTTGTGTACAACCAAATAAGGACACCTACATAACAAGGCTGCCAGCTCCAACACTCTGCATGTGGAAGTTATTGGATAAAGGTACGAATCAAAGAATGTGTGGCCAGAGGACATTGAAAGAAAATTGCTAGAGCAGACACCTAGCCCTTAATGGTACTTAAGGCCAGCTTTTTGCACAACCCCCCCGTTGAAGAAAGGTCAAACTTCAAGCAACCGAAAAAGAACATGGATGGGCACCTACAGCCTCACACCACAATATGTATGCCTTCCAAGTATGATGGTATATATTCCTAGAGGTAGACTTTTGTGCTTTTAGCATGGTAGGGATCATTGACTCTGACCATACCCTGATCCTCAAAACCTAGCTTTCAATAGCCAAGTCGTCAAAGCCAGCGACAGTAAAGCAGGGTGGAAGATCGGCCTATATGAATCAGAT